GGTTCATCTACGATGTGTCAAGTTGGCTTTGTTTGTCCCCCACTACCAGAAATACCAGCTTCCCTCAACACAAAGCTCGATACGAGCCAAAAAGCATTATTATTGACAGCAGTAAAACAATAACTTATTACTTTTAGAGCGGGTTTTTGAGATGGCAATCAAATGCCAATTAATAATCAGATTAGTTAATCTAAAAATAAATGTAATCCAATGTTAATCCCCTTTGATGTTTTTGAGTACAAGATTAAACTTCGCAGTGTTGCCATACAAAACAACAGAAAACGTCACTGTTTGTTATCAAAACAATGCATATTTTATAAAAAAGAACAAGACAATTGTAAATTTAATATGAAAACTTAAATTAAAAACAAAAAAATATATTTTGAAGTGTTCATAATTTATACTAATCAATAAATAAAACATTTTAATGTTTATATTTATAAAAATTGTATTAATTTTTTTGCATCAGCAGTTTACACTTTTGCATTTCGTGCTTAAGTTTAAACCACCTCCATTGGGCGCTTAAACTTGCAAACAAAATTAACTAATTGAGTACTCAAAAACATCTTTCAAGGATTAATTTTAATTTAATCGCTAATCTTTCACCTAAATATTGGCCCTTAGAATCTCCTAAACTCATCGTTTAATAAGAACATTTAAATATATTCATTATATACAAAATACAAAAAAACACTTTTCGCCTTATTAAAACTCAGTTAAGGACTTTGAACCATACCAATACACATTCTAAATAAAAATTACTAACAAATAAGTTCCCCATTTCTTCATATGGATTTACTTCAAAAAGTGTTTTATTGTTTGTTATACACTACACCACTATAGTGGGAAGGGTATTATGCGTTTGTGCTGATGTTTGTAACGCACTAAAATATTAGTACTACACCCACCTTTAAGTATACCGATCGACTCAGAATCACTTTCTGAGTTGATTTAACAATTTTCAAGATAATTTGATGAAATTTGGCATACATGTTTCTTTTGACCCAAGGACGAAGCCTATTGAATATGGTTAAAATCGGTCCATTATTTCACCTAGCCCCATACAACTGAACCCTCCGAAAAGGGCTTTTGAGCTCATAATTCTGTATAATATAAATGTATCTCGATAAAAGTTCGCACAACTAAGTTTTATGCAAGCCTTAATGACCTTGCCGAATTTCTAAATGATCGGACTTCATTTGACCCTAGCCCCCATACAAAGCCCCCCTTCAGAAAATGAATATCCTTGAATATCCGCAATTTACTTATTAACACTGCCGAGCAAAAAAAGTGTGGAAAAAGATGTAGAATTTTCATCACAACTAGTAACCCGATGTGCTTCAAATTCAGGTGAAAAACCTATGAATTTTACATTAGCGTGTCATTGGAGGGATGTTGTTCATTTTTGACAACTTTGAACTACATCTAATCTTATCTTTAGAAGCTGTAAAAATCCGATATTTGTATGTCAAAAATAAACCACATTATTTCAATGAAACGCTTATGTAAATTTCATCAAAATTTGAAGTACTTCGAATATGTTGTTGCAATCGCATTTTTAGATGTGATTAAGATGTCGTTTGTAAAGTATGACATCAATTATTTTTTGCTGGGTGTTATTGCAATGAAATTTATCACAGACAATTATTATATAAATATAAATCTATCCAACCCATTTTATCGGGATCGGTTCACATTTGCTCCTATCCCCCATATAAAGCCTATTTCAGAAAATTAGTTTTTCGTCAATAAATTGCTTAAATAAATCGGAATCAAGGTAATATTCCAGATAAATGCTTTATTATGAAAAATATATCACATTTAATATTCATAACTGGTGTAGGGTATCATATAGTCGGTCACGCCCGACAATACTTTCTTACTTGTTTTCTTTATACTATGGTTTCTAGCAAAGAACACATGTGAGAACTCAATTCTCTCACAATGCTTTAAAACTTATTCGCGAAAATACCGGGATACACAATCGATGTTGTAGCGTTGTATACGTTGTATGTCAGCAGCTGCTACAATAGTCATAACAATGTTGTTGGTATTTTCTATGCAAAAGCTCTATACAACTCCTACGACAATTTTTCATATGTTTTTCGAATGTTGTAAGAAAGTTTAGTGTTGCCAATTGTTTATTTCAACATATAAACAAAATATTCAAACGATTTTAGCATAAAAAAACCATAAAGTGTTAACACTGAAATCAAAAACAAACAGCTGTTTACCAAAACAAAAACACTAAAATTTTATTAAAAACAGTTTATTTATTAGTTTAAAATGTGGAATAAAGAAAATAAAAGAATTGAAAATTCAAAGAAATTAATTTGGTTTATTTCGCATGTTTAATTAAATTAAAATTTTTTGATTTTTTTATCTTTTGACATATATTTGTTTTGATTGTTTTTTTCCATTGAGAACATAAACTTACGACTTGCTGCAAAGATCTGTTCACAATCACTGTTACTACACTTTAGTAGGTACAATATACAACTTGATTGTGAATTGAACAATTAATTTTATTAAAGCTGGTAATGCACGCCGCGTACATTGGCCCTGTACTATAAGACTCTGCACATTTAATTTCATAGTTCAAGGTTCAACATTAAAGAAAATTTAAAATTTTCTAGTATATAAATGAAAAGTTAATTATTATTATATAAAAAAAATATTTGTATTTTATGTCTGCACTAATCTCTTATTATCACCATGTTTACAAAAAATTTACTTAACACGTTGACGTAAATGACGGTTATAGACGTCAAGCACGGCGCACAGTGATTTGCCCCATAGGCAAAATTCATTTTTGTTTTTGTATCGAGGATATTTATGAATGTTATTTTTTTGGAAAGCTTATAAAATGTGCTAACTAAATATGTAAAATAAAATTTATATTTGCTATTTTTAATGACGTTAGAGGGCGCTAAAGTCAACGAAATTTTAGTCAATTATTTTTGACAGAATAATGCATTTCAAAGCTTGTATGAAAAAATTTCCAAAAATTAATTTTTAAGTAATTATTCCAAAGTAAATTTTTTTCTGTACAATGGAATATTTTTAAGAAATAAGGATGAATTTCAACAAAAATAATTACATTATTGTTACTTTTTGTTGTATTAGAAATTATACAAATTTTTTAATATAAATATGAAAATTTCCAAAGTTTGATGGAGTAGCAAAAATTTGTTTTAAAAGATGCGTTATTTTTTATTTTTTTTTTTTCGATATCTTTCTATGTCTTTTAATATACAAAATTTTTAAATTTCGAACCACAACTTTGAAAATTTTGCATATCTGTTTATGCCTTAATTCGAAAATTTCAAAAAAGGCATATAGCTATATATGTATATAGCCAAAACAAAAAATAATTGTATATTGGAAATATAAATTTTATATTTTCTTGGGGGAATATATTAACTGCCGGTTTCTCTAAATGCGAAAGAACATTTTCTTTCTTACAAATATATTGAAAACAACAAATAAGTTTAAAATTTTGTTTTTGTTTCCAATATATTTATAAGAAAGAAAATGTTGTTTCGATATTGTGAAACAGGCAGTAAGTTTTATATACTGATGAAATTTTTTCCAAGAAGTCACTTAATTCATCAAATTTGAGGCTCTTAAAATATTTAAAAATATGTTTTTTCCTTCAAAAACTCAAACATTTTTTAAATTTTGGTAAAGTATTAAATAAAAACATATAAAAGTGAGTTATTTTTTATGTTTTTCGAAGCTCATTTAGTTATCTAATACATTCTAAAAGAAAAATTTGTTATGTCTTTCTTTATGTTTCAGAACATCTGCGATGGGTAGTCATCTTGACGTAATGCAGATGCTTAAGCGCAATGATCTGTAGAGTAATGCTGGAGGGAATGGCGATCACAAGTTGGCTATTCCTGGTAGGGTCACCCATTCCAGACGAGTATGCTTTGAGCGTGAAAATAAGAATTACCCTCCCCCTGTCGGATAGCGTCTGTTTCCCTATGGGACGGCTATCGGACGCTTTCTCCCCTCACTTAGAAAGCATGTCCGGCTGGTTCCTATTTGAACCATACACTTAAATGTGTACTGTCCGTCCGAATCCACCAGCGTCTGTTTCATATTGGGCGGCTGGTGGTCTGCGTCTATTTCCCCTGTGGGAACAGCAGTTTCACCTGGCAGTAGGTTAAAAATTACTATGACAAACAATGGAGATGGAGAAAGAAGCCTGCCCCGCGTACCCGGTCAGGGGCTTCATAATCTCCAGGGACCCTACTTCCACAGCGTCGGTAATGAGCTGTGGATAGTCGAATGCGAATGTTACCCAGACTAGTCAGGCGGCCACACCGGGTCAGGCTAGTTTGCGAGCTACCGGCGTCGCAGGAGGTTAGTTTGGCACACCCAGGCTGGCTGAATGTGACAAATTCAAAACTATTCGTAGTTGCTCACCAAATGGCGAGGTACATACCTTTGGACCAATTGTACTTCAGGTTCAGTGACGGTATCCTATATCAGACCAAGCGGGCGGCAACTACGAGGAGTTCCTCTTATAGGATTATTGAGTTGCTCGGGTTCAAACAACCGGGGAACTCACAACGGAGCAAACAGCTTCCCTCCAATGGGCCCAAATCGCTGACAACGCCTAAACGGCAGCGTTCAGAGGAAGAAGCAGCATCTGTAAGCCAGCAGCTAGGGACGAAACGTCCAAAACACGCACGACGATGACAACCTCCTGGGTCTATCCCAGGAGATTGCCAACGTTGATGTTGTTACCCCAGGAGATGGTGAGATTGACTCAAATCAATCTCTACCACTCTAAGGCAGCATCAGCTTCATTGCTCCTCCGGGTGACGCAGAAAGGGGAGGAGTTAATAATGGTCCAAGAACCTTGGATCCATCAGGATCGGGTTTGCGGACTACAACATAAGGACTATAAGATCCTGTATGTTAAAAGTTCAGATAAAGTAAGGTCCTATATATAGCTCGCTTCACATCTTCATTTTATCTTATTTCAGTGATGAAGATACGGTCGCACCCGCACTAGAACATGGCGGCACAACCACATGGGTGGTTTCTAGCTTTATGGCCTACGATCACGGGGATTGTCCTCCCAATAAAAATGTCCGTAGATTCGTTGATAAGGCGAATATGCACAATATCCCTGTTATCATATGTGCTGGCGCTAATTCGCATCACAGTATTTGGTGTAGCAGCGGTACCAACACAAGAGGTGAGCAACTCTTCAATTTCATTATTAGTAGAAATTTGAAGTAGTAAATAGGGGTTCAGAACCCACTTTTATTGTATCTAACAGAAGAGAAGTACTAGATATTACGCTCGTGAGTGCTAAGCACTGCAAATGTATCACGCACTGGACTGTGACGAACTGGGAAGTTCAGCATAACCTGCTTTCCTCGTCTCTAATTTATCTCCCTACTTCAGAAAGTATTAAGGACATTGACGCAGCAATTCACAACCTAACGGATGCCTTCCGTATGGCAACCACAACTGCTTGAAAACCTTCCATTAAACGAGGAAATCTCCGGGTCCTGATGGTATTATAATTGGCTGCTATCGATTTACAAAACATTCCTTATTACGATATACATCCCTCATATATGGATGAGATGTAATGTGGTCCAAACCAAAGGACAATAGACCAATCAGTATTACGTCTTTTTTTCTCAAGTCTCTTCAAAGAGTCATTGATGTACATACATCTGAGATTAACCATCCCCACGTAATTAATCTCTAAATCACAACATGCCTATACCAAATGCAAGTCTGTGGAAACGGCTGTACACTCGCTAGTGGGACACGTAGAAAGTTCACAAGCACACAAAGAGTACTCTCTTGTTGCCTTCCTAGACATCGAAGGTGCCTTTAACAATGTCGAACCCAATGCCATTGTGAATTGTTTACCAGCTGACCTGATGGAGATTCAACTGGCCCTTAACTCTGCAATCAGACTTAACTCATGTGGTTCGTGGTCTGGAAGCAAAGGCATAGGACACACGAATAATTAAGTACTTCGAATTCAGTACACGAGTCACACTCAACTAATGGTGCAACAAATGTTTAAACTGACGACTCCAAGAGGAGTGGAAGAGTAGGTGGTGGCTTTTACATTGAAAGATTTGGAATCTAATCCTCTTTCAAGCTACCTAATTGTTGTACTGACAGAATATCTGCTATTAAGCGAGTCGCCAACTGGCTAAGGTTTTATCAAATATCGGGTGATATACAGTATTGTTCGAAACCTAAGCAACTTTTTTTGGCATTGTATACAAAGTGCTATATTTTCTATTTTAATTGATTTATTCAAAATTATATAATTGATAATAATAATATTATGTGTCTACATTATAATAACAACAACAAAAGTTTAATTCCATTTGGCTGTGAAATACAAGAAAATAATAACTGAATTAACTCCATAAATAGCTGTTCGAAACTTAAGCAACTTCTTGATCTTCTTATGAAAATATTTGGTCCTTTTGAATCCCAAACATCTTTATGGAATAGATTAGTTACTAGTGTAGTTCGTAATGAATCCAAGGCGGATTTTAAGCCACTCGCAAGCTGCAATGTTTTCTAAAACTGCGAGTTTCGACCCAGCGCTTCAGAATGCCGAACAGCATCTCTAAGGGACTTGAGTCGGGAGATTTTGATGGACAATCAAAGAGTTTGGGTCCCATTACTCGATAACTACTCTTAGATCAACTTTTCCAAAGGTTTTGGTTCATTATCATTCTGAAAATCGCAATAAAGTAAGTTGTTATGTTCAATGTACTTAATCCTATGGTTCATTTTGTTGGCCAAAAATGTCCCAGAAAGTAAAACAATCCAATTTTATTTGTATTTCAACAGCAGGACTTACTCTACTTACCAAAAATCTTGCCCACAACCTTAATTGTTTGACCTTCATGTTTTTTTAAGCCTTTAATGTACGATCATGTAACCGCATATGAATCCCGCAGTGACATGGCACAGAGTTTACTTAAAGAAATTCGATTTTTTCATAAATTTTGTACAATTTTGGGTAGAATATTGAAATAGATTACGCAAGACTAATAAAAAACAGTTTTATTTATAAACGGGTCCACATTTCCTTCTTAAATTCAGACAGAGTATGTGAGGCTCAAAGGCTGAAGGAAATATTATAACATATCCTTTTAGTGAAGGCCCAATAATGAATGGAGAGCAAAAATTTAAGGGTATGGACATGTTTTTTGTAGAGAAGGGTTAGTCCTGATGTTGAAAAACAAACAGAGTTGGATTGTTTTTCTTCTTGGGACATTTTTCGCCAACAAATGAATTATATGATTGAGAACAACGAACAGAACAACTTACTTTATTGCGATTTTCAGCATGATAATGAACCAAAACCTTTGGCAAAGTTGATCTAAGAGTAGTTATCCAGTAATGGGACCCAAATTATTTGATTGTCCATCAAATTCTCGCGACTCAAGTCCCTTAGAGATGCTGTTCGGCATTCTGAAGCGCTGGGTCGAAACTCGCAGTTTTAGAAAACATTGCAGCTTGCGAATGGCTTAAAATCCGCTTGGCATTCATTACGAACTACACTAGTAACTAATCTATTCCATAAAGGTGTTTGGAACTCAAAAGAACCAAAGATTTTCATAAGAAGATCAAAAAGTTGCTTAAGTTTCGAACAGCTATTTATGGAGTTAATTCAGTTATTATTTTCTTGTAACTCACAGCGAAATGGAAATAAACTTTTGTTGTTGCTGTTATTATAATGTAGACCAATGGTGCCCAAAATCACTATTCCCTATCACGCGAGATAAGGCAAGAATATTCTGCTGACGTTGCGTTGACTCACCTACACTATAAGCTTACTTGTGTATTTTCTTATTTGAGCATGTGATAGTTGATTATCTCTCAACTTGCAAAACAAAATCAACTCAGTTGCTGATCAGCATTTGTCGAAGTAAGATCTGTACGCAACTTTTTTAAAATCTACACAGAAATACAACAACAAAATTTTGAGAAAGCCGAATTTATTTAGGTGAATGAGAGAGCACAGCTGATAGTTTTTTATATATGAACTTTAATGTACGCTGTCTGCCAAAATCCATAATATCAATTTGACAGTTAGAATATACTTTTTAGTATGCAGTCATTTTATTAGTGCAGTTTTATTTTGGGTTACATTTTGTTCTCTGCTGCTTTACCAATACAAATGAATGTGTAACAGTGTGTGTATGGGCAACACTGATGTAGACACATAATGTTATTATTATCAATTATATAATTTGGAATAAATCAATTAAAATAGAAAATATAGCACTTTGTATACAATGCCAAAAAAAAGTTGCTTAGGTTTCGAACAATACTGTATGTATATATACGGACTGCGATCAGAAATCTACCGGGTGTCTTTACGACATCTAGGTTAACCGAAGAATGCAGGGTATCTCTGAATGAGATAGCGAGACATTCTAGGATAACGCTAATATGGGTCCCTGGACATAGTAATTGTATAGCTGACGAACTTGCCAGGAATGGTGCATGAGAAGGGAAGATGAAATCGACGCATTTAATGGTATTTCCCTTACAAACTGGTTCAAACTGAACTATATGAAATGGCTCAAATCAGTTGGTTCAGTGGATCCACCTGTCTCACTTCGAGGTCACTTTGGCCTCTATACGATGCTCCCATGGCAAACTTTCGCAGGGAACAGATAAGAATGCTGGTATCGGTCATAACGGGACACTGTATTATTGGTAATCACACCAGAAGAATGGGTGTCGAATATAACGACTACTGCAGGAGTTGTAATAATGAGGAGGAAGAGGAAACTATACCTCACCTTTTCTGCTATTGCTCATCATTCAATGAAAGCAGAGAACATTGTTTCGGCCTTGCTGCTCTATTTTGTCTGGATGAGCTATCTGGGATATGATTAAAGAATATTCTAAACCTTTTAAATCAATGGATAATGGATATTCTTTTGGAAAATGCCTTCTTAAACTTGTATGAATACTTACAATTTAGATCAGTTTAGTCCGATCACACCAAATATTTTTTACTATTAAATGAATCTGTTTTTTAAAGTGTTTAAATGCAGTATATTGTGTCCCGTGGACCACTTTTTAGGAGGAATACCTCTAAAGCGATGCGTTTCAATGTAGTAAATACGAGAAAAATAAAAACATTTTTTTGAAAAGGTCCTCAGTAGGGTTACGACTTTTTTTAATTTTTGCAAATATCAAAAATATCATAGCAAGACCTTGTAGGGCGTGAATAGTTGTTAAGGAATATGATATTTTTTCGCGATGGTAAAAAAGTTCCTGCACCAAAGGCGATAAAGTTTTGTATAAATATTACTACTCGAGAAAAATAAATGTTTTTTTCCAACATTTTTTCATTTGTATTACACTATCTTAAAGAGAACATTCTTCTTCAAACCCCTGTTATGACAAATAGTACACGTTTATATGACAATTATTAAAATAATTTTAGTAAAAATAACGAACAAAAGCATTTTAGAAATTGCGTTCGGTGCGGGATGTTTTTTTACCGAATTGACTTAAAAAATAGCCTTTTATTATCAGGACAGTACTAACCCTAGTCCTCAGTTCTCTACCTGTGATCTTGATCTCTGTACAATATGTTAAAAAAAATTCTGCAATCTTTTCCAATTGGGTGTCAAAAATTCCGTAATAATGAGGTTATTGAGGGAAAAATAATTAAAATTTTTGTTAGTGTGTTTCTGGTCCGCAAAACGACTTTTATTGTATTATACCGGACATATAAATTTCAAATAATTCTAAAAAATTCTAAAATGGAATTTTTAAAATATTTTTCTGTATGAGCTAAAAATTACGACAATTTTGACACATTCGATAAAAAGCGATTTTGTGGACCAAAAATATTCTACAAAAATTTTAAAATTAGTTTTCCTGTAATCAGCTCAAAATTATGGAATTTTTGAGACCCATTTCGAAAAAATCTAAAATATTTTATTTTTCAAAAATTATACTGAGGTCATGATTTTCAATCGCTGCACGATGGCAAAAGTGGCGATTAACAGGATTTTGAAAATTGTGTTTTTTTTTAGCAAACTAGACAAAATTATGTATAAGCAGCACTAAAACTTATTTCTGTACACATTACTGTTTTTGTACTGCGCTGTCAAAGTTGAACAATTTTATAAATTTCCCCAAAAAAAAAATAAAATAAATTTAAGGAAATTTGTATTAAAAAATTTTTATTATTTAGTTTAGTTCTTCAATTTTCAACTCAACAAAATTTATAAAAGTTGAAATGAAATTATACAAATATAAAAATAAAAAAGACAGATTTTTTCTTTTATGATACCAAATTTTGATTTTAGAAAAATATGTAAAAATTGGTTAAATACAATTTTTATATTATTTCTCAAAACGTCTATTTTGCTATTGTTCCGATATGAATTTCAGCTTATAACTTCTCCTAACCTACATATATTATTTTTAAATCTAATTAAAACCTCTGAAATCCGCCAGA